TATTTTTTCCTTTCTTGTTTTTTTGTTTTGTTTTGTTTTGTTTTTTTGGCACTACAACTATGACTGAGTTCACAACAATGGAGGGACTCAGAGAGAGAGAGGAAGAAAAATTTAGAACAAAAAATCAAATTCACAGAAAAGACCAGATTTGCTAGTCTAACAGAGACTGGAGGTACCCCTAAGATTATGGCCCTAAAATATCTTTTTGACCTGGAGCTGAAGCCAGACCATCTTCCAGTCAAACAATAGGCAGGCCCATAAGATAAACAATACCAGAGAGAAAAGCATTCCTTAGAACAATGAATTATACTGGATCAAAAGGAGGACATTTGTTCAAAGGAAAAGATCAGAGGAGAGGACAGGGTAGGAAATTCATACAAAAGGGAACAGGTGGAAATAGGGAGCATGTTGACACGTTGTGAGGAATGCAACCAATGACATGGAACATTTTAGGTATAAATTAACCAACGAGAAACTAATTTGCTCTGTGAAGTTCCACCTAAAGCACTATTGTTGTGGTTGTTGTTAATTGCTGAGTTGGTTCCGATCCATAGCGACCCTGTATAGGGTTTCCAAAAAGTGACTGGTAAGCTTGAACCATCAACCTTGTGGTTCAAAGCAACTTTGCAGTCCAGTGCATTAACGCACAGTGCCACACAAGGACTGCTAGGAAAAATATATCCCATTAATATGAACAAAATAACTTTTGTATTTTTTTTTTAACCTATATAAATACAGTTACTCCTGGTGTAGCACTATAGAATAAGTATTGGGCTTCGAACAACAAAATCAGCAGTTCAAACCTACCAGCTGCTCCTCAGGATCGCTATACAGGATTGCTATGAGTCAGAACCAACTTGATGGCACTCAACAACAACAACACAGTTAACCCTACTTTTTTTTTTTTAATGTTTTATTGTGAATTATATGATAGTTTACATGGGAGAACATTTAGTTTTACATTCATCCTATCATATATTGTTTCATTGCCATGGTTACAATCCCCTTCATGCATCATCAACCAACCAAAGGGTATACACTACAAGCCTGCCCCCTGGTCATCAGCACACAGCCCCTCTCCCTCTCTGTGTCCAAAGTCCCCAACTGCTCCATCTCTCTACATCATTGTCTCTGCCTCCATCTCAGGCATCACTGCTTCTCTGGGAAGGGTCCCACTCTCCGCTCTTCTCCATTGATGGTCCCAGGGACCTCTTCTCCTAGACTGAAAAATGAATCACTCCCCTCCTTGCTACAAAACATCTACCTTTACATTTCCAACCCTCACAATCAGTCCTGATAACAATTATTCACTATTGTATCACAAGAGTCCCATCAACATTTCATTTCATCAGCCCTGCCTAGACAGATTGGATACTACTCAGTGGAGATTCTACCTTCCTTCATGCCCTCTGAATCTACGTTTCCTCTTGAAAGCTTGTAAGCCAGTCACTTCTTACCTTTGTAGCCCCCCCCCCTTTTTGGGTATCCAATGTCCAAGTTGCCCATCCCTGTCTACTCTGTGTATGCAGGGATTTTAACCCTATTTTTAAAGCCTATTCCATAAATTGGAGAGAAGGGGAACTATAACTAAGCAATGACTTTACATCAGAAGTGATTGGTTGTTAATAAATTACAATTTATACACCAAAAAAGCAAAAAAAAAGGACTGAAAACAAACTGATTAATCACTACAAAATGTACATATTGCTAATCTAAACCTGCTACTAATGCAATATATCAAATGACACACTGCATTAAGCAAATCTACTCAAAAGACCTCTTTAAAGTGTTAAAGAATAAATACGTCACTTTGAGGACTAAGGTACACCTGACCCAAATTATGGTATTTTCAATCACCTCATATACATCTGAAAGTTAGGCATTGAATAAGACCATAAAAGAATAAGTGCATCTGAATTATGGTGTTGGTAAAGAATATTGAAAGTACCATGAAATACCAGAAGTACAAACAAATCTGTCTTGGAAGAAGTAGAAGTACAGACAGAATGCTCCTTATAAGCGAAGACTGTGAGCCTTTGTCTCTTATACCTTTGACATGTTGTTTGAAGCCCAGGAGAGACCAGTTCTAGAAGGATATCATGCTTGTTAAAGTGAAATGTCAGCGACTGTCAATCCTGAAGATGAATTGACACAGGATAGCAGCAATATGTTCAAACATACGAACAATTGTAAGGATGGTACAGGACCGGGCAGTGTTTCCTTCTGTGATGCATAGGGTCAATGAGTTGGAACCAACTCAACCATACCTAATGACAACAACAAATCTACTACCAAAAAATAAAAAATAAAAATTGTCCTTAGTCCAGTTCAGTGTCACCTTATGTACTACAGAGTAGAGCTGAGCACCATAGGGTTTTCTTGTCTGTTGCTATGTGTCTGGGTAGATTTGAACTGCTGACCTTTCAGTTAGTAGGTTAGTAGCTGTAATTAATAGATTCTGTTTCCTCCCCACTCCCCTCACATCCTAACCTCTATACTTATGGTTAAGGAGCTTTGGTAGAGTAGTGGTTATGAGTCAAGCTGCTAACCTCAAGATCAGCAGTTCGAAACTACCAACTGTTCTACAGGAGAAAGATGAGGTTTTCTGCTTCTGTAAAGATTTATAGCCTCAGAAACCCTATGCAGGGTTACTATGCGTTGAAAACGACTTCATGGCACACCATCACTATACTTACAGTTATAATCCCATTTAGAAATGGGTTTTCTTTGTTATGTTAATGAGGTAGTATTAAGGTGGAGTATGCTTTGAGTCAATCTCTTTTAAGATATAGAAAGAGCAAGTTAGGTATAAATAAAAAGCAGAGATGGGGGAGAAAGATGAGTCTTGCTGGAACAGACAAGAAAATGACCTTCCTCCAGAGCTGACAGAGAAAGTCTTCTAGATCGAGGGTGGAAACTTCCGCCTGTGGACCTTATCATTTTGGCCTGGCTCTGCCAAGGCAACTGCAGTTTCAGCCATCACATCAGTGGTGAGTTAATTAAATGTTTGACTAAATATAGCAAGCTAATTTTTAATTTGATAGTTTTGTATAGCCTGCAAATGATGTTACAAATGTTGGCAGAAAAAAAGTTCCCCTCCCCTTTTCTAGAGACTGAATTTGCACTTAAAGCCTCCTAACTGCAAGAAAATAAAGTTGTTGGTTAAGCTAACCACTTGTGGTATTTCTGTTACAGCAGCATTGGATAATTGAGACATTAGCCCTAGAGCTAACCATTTGTATCACCCAGAACCAAACCAAAACCAAACCCACTGCTACTGAGTCAATTCTGACCCTGTACTGGGTTTCCAAGAATAAATCTTTATGCACAGAGGCAACTTCATCTTTATCCAGGTGGGTTCGAATCACCGACCTTGTGGTTAGCAGTCCAACGAGTAACCCACAGCACCAATAGGGCTCCTTTTTGTTTTTTGTTGGTAAGTGCAGTCGAATCGGTTTCGACCCATAGCAACCCTGTATAGATTTTCCGAGGAGCAGCTGGTGAGCTTGAACCGCCGACCTTGCAGTTCAAACGGCTTTGCAATCTGGCGCATTATTAACCCACAGCACCAACACCAGGACTCCAGGGCTCCGTGGAGTCGGTTCATAGTGACCCTGTACAGGGTTTCCGAGGCTGTAAATCTTTATGGGAGCAGAACGCCTCAACGGTCTCTCCCGCGGAACAGCTGGTAGTTTCGAACTGCTGACCTTGCTGTTGGCAGCCCGACTTGTAACCACTCCGCTACCAGAGCTCCTTCCAGGGCTACTTTAGGACTTCCCTAAATCCACTACCACAGAAAATACGAGAAAACACAAGAATACACCTGCAGGCATTCTATTAACTGACAGAATGATGACATCATTACATGCTATCATGTAATGGAAATCTCCACTGTACTCATACTCATGAGAGAGTAAGAATGAAAAGCAAATCATGTCTTATCATTATATGGGAAATAGTTTTGACTTCCAAGACCCCTTGGAGACGACTCCCAGACTGAGGTCCAATCAAATAGCTTAATTTTAATGTTAGGACCCATTTCACATTAACAAAGTGTATTTGAATTTGAAAGTGAAATACTGTGAATACTTTGTTTCCGTCCCCAGACTGCGCTTTGAGAACTGGTGACCTAAGGTGACCACAGACCCCTAGCGACTGGAACCCAAAGCGAAAAGTCCTGGACGTGCCGAGAGTGCTATGCTCAGCCCTGAGAACTGAAAATGCTCGCCGGAATTTGTCAAGTCTAGAAGCTAACCCCAACCCCGTCACCTCCGCCACTAAGGCGTGGCCGGAGCTGGCAGCGAGCGAACTGGCTCGCCCAGGGCTCCAGGCAGGACCCACCACGGCTGCGAGAGCGTAGCTCCCGCGCCGGATACGCGGGTAGGACGGCCCGGGAGGAGGAGCGCGGCTGGGCGGACTCAGACCGGTGCTTCCCAGGTAGCCGCTCCTTTCCTCGCTAGCTCTGTCCGGCGGCGGCTTCCCAGGAGCCAGGCAAGAACTCGCACCGTACGTCCCCAGACGACCTGGGGTGCCCCTCTGCGGACCGCCGGCACTTCCCTGAACGGAGCACACGACTACACCGGCCTCTGAGCGTCGCGGAGATTGGGGGAGCGCCGGAGACGGAGAGCCTGGCGGTCGCCCACCAACAGAGCTCCCTCCGGAGGGCTGCGGGAGCATGTGCCCAGAGCTGCAGGTGCAGACCCAGAGGGAAAGGGATTCTTCGGTGGGGCCGCGCCTGGCAAATTCGAGTTCAAAGCGGGGGTCGTCCTCTCGATCATTGACTGAGTCCTAGGGCGTGGCATTAGTCCTGAGGCGTTTCAGAGGGGCGCCCCCGCTTTCCAAACGTGGGTAGAGCCCAGGTGGCCGAAACCTGGCGCGGGGCGCAGTTGGGCTGTAGCTTTGAGAACAACAGGTTCTCAATCCTCACAGAAATTCCCAGTGCTGAGCCAGGGGCTTTTTGACATGTTTTTTGTTTGTTTTGTGTTTTGTTTTAGTTTGTTTGAGAGTTGCCAGACTATGTTTAAACTTCTGGTTCTAGTCAGCCAACTGCCTGTAGTTACCTTCGCATTTCCTCATTACACAAGAGGTCCTAAGGATTCTAAGCATGCGAAAAAAGAAGGTAAGCACGGCTTCAGTTTCGACAAAAACCTTCCTGCGTATCAGAGCTGCATATTACAGATCTCAAGAGAGAAAATGTAGTATTTGAATGCTCTCATCAAAATGATGATCTAGTCTATTCCGACTCAGCGACCCTGCATAGGGTTTCTGAGGAGCATCAGTAATAGATACACTAAAATATTGTTTAGTTTAATTTATACTTTGGGAATGTGGGTTGTCTTTTTTAAATGTTTTTAACTACAGTTGAATACAATTTTAGTTCTATGAGTTTCCTTTGATAAATATGTATTTAAGATCTGGTTTGTGGTTAACTGAATGGAACTTCTGAAAGTCAGAGAGTGGGGGGCGGGGGGGGGGTTTAGATGAGGCTGTGTGGTAATTATACCAAGCATAATTGCTTATTCTTCCTGGAAAGGTGGACAGGAAATGGGGATCTAGTCTGGACTTGAGACCATTTGGGCTTGGATTTTCTCAATTGTAAAATGATGGGGTTGGGGAGCAGCAAGATCTCTAAGGTCCTTTTGGCTTTAAAATGTCTGAAGTTTGATTACCTAGAGAAGGGCAGAGGTTGAGAGAATCAAAGGAGACTTGGTGGCACAGAGGTTAAAGCACTCGACTGTTCATCAGGTTGGCCGTTCAAACTCACTAGCAGCTCTATCACAGAGTAAAGATTAACCCACTATTACAGTTTTAGCAAACCAGTGGGGTTGTCCTCCTTCCCATCAGGTCACTGAAGGCAGTAGGTGGGTGAGAAAAAGGCTAGCTTTGGTACTTGCTAACCTTGTGGGTTCCACTTTGCAAACAGACTAGTTCTGCTATCTTGAATTTGAGCCCCACATTTAAGAAGCCCAACGTAAAAAAATTTGAAAAGGGAAAAAAAAGCTTGGATCTCAGTTCCTTCTCCCTGTCTAGTCATTGTGTTTCTTCACCCAGTGCCAGTATATTGGATCTACGCCTCTACACATTTCTGTCCCTTATCCCTCTTCATCAGATTCTGCTCGCAGCTCATTTTCATTTGGGAAGGATCTGTTTACACTAATACTCCTGGCTGACTTATTAATGATTAATGCAGCTTCTTGTACTAAATCTCCTAGATGTGTGTGTGTGTGTGTGTGTGTGTGTGTGTGTGTGTGTTTTAAGATAAGAATACACCAAGGAGTTAAACCCTGATGGTAGAATTCTAGGCAACTGGAGAGGGTAGCTAGGGAGATAGGGAGAGATTTTGAAAGGGGATCCTTCTTGATACCTTCCAAGTGGCATGATGAAACAGTCCCCATATATGCCTGTATTCAGTTAGACCTGCTGATGATGATCCCTAAGACAATTGTGAGTACATTCATTCACATAATACCAGCACAAAAGACACTCCCAGGACATCACAAACTATGGAAGGAATTTAGAGGTCCTACTTGAGTTGGACTTCTGGTGTGGTGCTGTGGATCAGTACTGGACTGAGAACCACAGGGTTGGCAATTCAAACCCACCAGCTACTCCTTGGAAATCCTATACAGGGTTGCTATGAGACGTAACTGACTCGATGGCACTTAACAACAACAACTTGAGTTGGGGGACTCCTGGTGTGGTGCTGTAGGATAAGCACTGAACTGCGACCACAAAGTCGGCTGTTCAAACTCACCAGCTGCTCCTTAGAAACCCTGTACAGGTTTGCTATGCATCAGAACTGACTCAATGGCACGTAACAATGACTTGAGTGAGGAGAACTAGAGATATCTGTTAGAAGAGATCCTACGTATATGCAAAGCTGATTTGTTCATTCAGTAACCGTTTTATGACCACATACAACATGCTGGACCATATGCCATGTTTTGGAGATGTAGAAGTAAGTGTAGTAATCCCTGCTCTGGAGAACCTCTTTATATAGCAGGGGAAACAAAAAAAAAAACCCAATGCCATCTAGTTGATTCCAACTCATAGTGACACTAGATAGACTCTAAGGGAGCTGATAGCCTCATCTTTCTCCCACAGAATCGCCAGTAGACTTGAACCACTGACCTTGTGGTTAGCACCCAGGAGAGACAAGGTGTAAATAGACAATCTCCATCAATTTTATAACAGAGGTGGAATTTAAGAACTCCTAGAGCAGAGAGTAAATAGAAGGCACCTTGAGAGAGTTCTGTGACAAAGAAGCATATGCTTTCTACTTGCAAATAGAGTATAAGCAGTCCCTGGATTATGAACAAGATACATTCTTTTTGGTTTTCTTTCTTTTTATTGTGAATTGAGTGAAGGTTTACAGATAAGGTCATCAGCTTTACACTCAACAAATCCTATACTTAGTTTCATTTCCATGTTTACAATCCCCTCCCTGCAACAATAGTTATCCTGATTCCTCCCTGTGTTCCTATTTATTTTCCACCCACCTCCCTATCCCTTCTTAACTTTGTCCTTAGGAAAATCCCCTTTTCATTTTGAATGATTGACCATTCCATGGTGAGTATTCCTAGCTAGTGTTGTTACCCCTGCTATAAACTTGCTTGGCTGAAAATCGGGCCATGAGGGTGAGTTCTTTTCCAGACCTAAAAGGTCTTTAAGGGCCATAGTCTCAGTTTCTTTCTGACCAGTAAACCCATTTATTTTTGTTTTTTAATTAAATAATTCTGAGTTTTGGTCCACATTTTCTCCCACTCTATCTGGAACCCACTAATAGGATCCTTTTCATAGCAGTTGGTAGTGATAACTGTTGTTGTTGTTGTTGTTAAGTGCCATCAAGTTGTTTCCGACCCATAGCGACCCTATACAGGGTTTCTGAGCCTGTAAATCTTTATGGGAGCAGAAAGCCTCATCTTTCTCCCGCGGAGTGGTTGGTAGTTTCGAACTGTTGGCCTTAAGGTTCGCAGCCTGATTCGTAACCACTACGCTACCAGAGCTCCATCTAATTCTTCCGGTCATAAGAGCCATTCTTAAGTATGTCTTTAAGTCGAAGCTGAAGGTAAATTGGACAGGTGCTTACGGTTCTTACTAAGCATTACTTCAGGGCAAGAAAAGCCTCAGAACTTTTTCAATGATTTAAAAGCTGCACAGGAAGCAAGTGAAGGTGATTGTGATGAAGAATTTGTTGTGAGTTGGGGTAGGTTCAGTCATTTCAAAGAGAGGGTAAATTTCCATAACACTAAAGCTCAAATATGAGTTGTCCCTAAATCTGTAAGCTACTGTAAAATACATGGATATATGAAGACTAACTGGGAAAAGAAGGGACCCTGGGCTAGGTTTTGATAAAACCAGATGATGGAGGTAAAATTACTTAAAAGAAGCTAATTTAGAGAACATGAGGAAACAGGAGAGACTGAAATGGAATCTCTGACTTGATGTATTTGAAAGAGTAGAATACATAAGTACACAGCCTCATCGTTCTATCATAGAGCAGTTGGTGGGTTTGAACCGTTCACCTTGCAGTTAGCAGTCTGATGCTTAGCCCAGTGCATCACCAAGGTTCCTTTCAGAGCTACTTAGAACCCAAATAACAAAGGGCAGTATTTCTCCTGAGATCATAAGGAAGGTAAGAAAAAGTTTGATATGGTACTGAAGAGTAAAGTTTAAGGTCGAACACTGATAGAATCAGAACTTTCACAATCAGAGAAGTGGCAAAAACAGCCCTTAGAAGATATACTTAATGCAGGGGTGAGGGCATTTTTTAGCATACATATTATTTCAGGTCAGAAAGACAAGGGGTTGGGAACCGGATTATGTTAAGACTCGTGGACCATTCTAAGTACTTTGGGTTTTACTCCAAGGGAGACATGACTGCTAGTAGGAGGTTTTTATAAAGTAGAAAGATAGCCTGACTTAGCTTTTCAAAGGTTCACTCTGACTGTGATGTTTACAACAGAATGTAAGGGGAGCAAAGAGCTCACTTAGAAGGCCATAGCAGGAATCCAGGTGAGAGATGATGGAGCCTTCAACCCAGATGACTGGTTAGAACGGGGTGGATTCCTGCTGTATCTTGAAGGTAGAACCAGTAAGTAGTATTGTTGAGTTGCCTGGTTGTGCTTTACTGACTGGGAGTAGGAGGAAAGGAAGCAGAAATCTTTGATCACACTGATGCCTCTAGCCTCCTTTTAGAGTATTTCTTAAAACACATATCCCGTTCCACCTTCCCCCTTAGTTCAAATAGTCTTTATGTGTTGTTTATAATATAGAAACTGACAACTCTAGAATAGCAGTGGCCAACAGAAATACACGGTAAGCCACATAAATAATTGTAAATTGTCCAGTTACCACATTAAAAAGGAAAAAAGATATATGTGAAATTAATTTCAATAATGTATTTAATTTACCCCTAATGCCCTCATTTCAACATATTTTTTGTTGTTGTTGTTATGTGCCGTCGAGTCGGTTCCGACCCATAGCGACCCTGTACAGGGTTTCCAAGGGTGTAAATCTTTACGGGAGTAGAAAGCCTCATCTTTCTCCCATGGAGCAGCTGGTAGTTTCGAACCACTGACCTTAAGGTTCACAGCCCAATTCGTAACCACTACGCTACCAGAGCTCCTTCATTTCAACATATAATCAAATATAAAACATTACTTATGAGCTATTTAACATTCTTTTTTCCATACTGCTGTTGTTATACGCTGTCAATTCTGAATCATATCTACTCTATATGACAGTAGAACTACCCCATAGGGTTTCCTAAGATGGAATCTTTATGGGTCAGGTCTTTTCTCCCAAGAGTAGGTTTAATCCACTTTACTTTTGATTGTAGTCCTGGTGTGGTGCTGTGAGTTAATGCACTGGACTACAAAGCCAGTTTGAACTCCAAAGTTGGCAGTTCAAACTCACCAGCCACTCCTCGAAAACTCTATACAGGGTCACTGTGGGTCAGAGATGACTCAAAGGCACACAACAACAACAATCTTTTGATTAGCAGCCAACCCATTGCATTACCAGAACTCATTTTCCATACTAAATCGTTGAAATTCAGTGTGTATTTTACAGTGCATTTCACATGCAAATTATGTGGCTGCTGTTAGCCATCATGGAGTTTGTTGTTTTGTTGTTAGGTGCCATCTTGTTCGTTCCAACTCACAGCGACCCTATACACAACAGACCGAAACATTGCTTGGTGCCTGTACCATCTTTATAATTGCTGTTATGCTTGAGCCCATTGCTGCTGCCACCGTGTCAATCCATTTTGGTGCGGGTCTTCCTCTTTATATCTGACCCTTTATTTACCAAGCATGAAGTCCTTCTCTAGGTACTGGTCCCTCCTGATAACATGTCAGAAGTATTGCTTCTAGGAACATTCTAGTTTACTGTTTCCAACACAGATTTGTTTTTTCTTCTGGCAGTCTATGGTACTTTTAATATTGCTCTCCAATACCAAAATTCATCTTATTATGCGATGGTCTTCCTTATTCATTGTCCAACTTCCACATGCATGTAAGGTGATTCAAAATACCATGGCTTGGGTTAGGCGCACCTTAACTCCGAAAACTGACAACATTGCTCTTGAACACATTAAAGAGGTTTTGGCAGCAAAAAGTTTGTGAACAATTTCCATTATCTTTTCCTTTCATTTTTCATGAACTTTTGAAGCCTCCCCATATATAGTTAATGGCTTCTGCATTGAAAAAAACCAATTCTAAAGATTCAAACCTATTTGGAAAGATGATTAATCAGTAGCAAGGAGCACTGGTGATGCAGTGGTTAACCAAAAGGTTGGTAGTTCAAATCCACGAGCCCCTCTACAGGAGACAGATGTGACAGTCTGCTTCCATAAATATTTATAGTCTTGGAAATCCTTTGAGTAAGTTCTACTCTGCCCTATGGAATACGATGAGAAATCTTGGACATGATGTGGCTGTTCTCACAGGACTAAGAAAAAAATGGTGACTTTAGGTCACTCACATATCAGCATTAATCTTTCAAGCTATCCTCTCTCATTGGTCTTGAGCTGCCTTTCAATTGCCCACTTTTTAGTACATTCTTCCTTTACTAAAAGTTAACAGTGAGAAATACCAAGACTTTTAGATTTTATTATGCTTTTGATGGAGTGCTCAAAGAGCTTCTGAACTCCAATCCCAGTAATGTAATCTGAAGCAAAATCCCTTAAGCTTTGTTTGCACGGCACCAAAATAAGTTTAACATTTGGGGTTATTTTTTAAATACTGTCATGATAGGATGTTGTTGTTTTTTGTGTCAACCTATGCTTAACCCTGTCTTGTTTACCATTTACCTTCCTAGAAACTACAGAAGGAGTCTTGTAAAGATTTGTAGACATATATTTGGAGGGAGAGAAGTAAGGAACTGTCCTTTTGGGAAGAGCTGAATGTCCTTTCATTGATCTTATAATTCACTTGCAATTTTGTTTGTAATTTTTATAAATTTGATATGAATTTATGTATCATTTTAGAACTTAGAGAGATCTTAATGATCATTAGTTAAATGATCTTAATGATCATTTAGTTCAGTTCCCATATTTTACAAATGAGGAAATAGCAACCCAAGATATAAGTGACTTATGTAAAACTGATGATCTTCTCCATAAACCTTCACTCAATTCACAATTAAAAAGTGGGGGAAAATAAATGCATAATTTCTTTCAAAGATAAATATATATATAAGTGACTTATCTCAGGATACATAGCAAATAGCTAACTAAGTCAAATCAAAACTGAGAATCCCTGCCTTCTAATTCTTAGTCTAGTATTCTTTCCATTACTTCACACTAATTATTTTCAGTCAGAAGAATATGGAACCAACCCTTTAGAAATAGAATAGTCTAACCTATTATTTACTGGGAAAATAATTATCTGGAAAATCCAAAACCCACTGCTGTGGGGTCACTCGGACTCACTGTGCCCCTCCAGGACAGAGCGTAACTGCTTCCTGGGATTTCTGAGATTATAAATCTTTATGAGAATAGCCAACTTCATCTTCCTTCTGCAGAGCAGGATGGGTTACAACATTCAACCTTGAGGTTAGCAGCCTAGCACTTAACCCACTGCTCTATCAACACTCCTTTCTGGAGAGAAAAGTAATGGTTAGCTAATTTTAATTTATGTAAAACATTTTGGACACAATCAACTCAAATATGCTCAGGAATTAAACTGATAGTAATATCCCATATTCAGTTGTTGTTAGATGCCACTGAGTCAGTTCCTATTTATAGCAACCCTATGAACAACAGAACAAAACACTGCTCAGTCCTGGACCATCCTTAACAATTGTTACTATGTTTGAGCCCATGGCTGCTGCCACTGTGTCAATCCATCTTGTTGAGGGTCTACCTCTCTTTAGCTCACCCTCCTCTTTACCAAGCATGATGCCCTTTGCTAGGGACTGGTCCCTCCTGATAACATGTCCAAACTATGAGAGACAAAGTCTTGCCACCGTCACCTCAAATGAACATTCTGGCTCCTCTTCCATATTCAGAAGAAATTATTTTTAGTGAAAAGTGACTTCTTTTTGTTGAATTTTAAAACCATACAAGAAAGTTAGCTACAATATAGATACAATACAAAAACGACTCCCTTTTTCCACAATTAAAATGAATTTTCTCTTTTATTAATATTTGAAATCTTTTTATTTCTTCATTAGTCTTTACTTCAAAAGAAGAAGCAAACTTTTTCATACATCGACGCCTGCTGTATAACAGATTTGATTTGGAACTCGTCACTCCTGGAAACCTAGAAAGAGAGTGCACAGAAGAACTTTGCAATTATGAGGAAGCTAGAGAAATTTTTGTGGATGAAGATAAAACGGTAATTTGGTTGATTGTGTTAATTGACTGGGAAACTATTAAATTATACTTATATGACACTTTTAGCCATACTTTTATGTTTGAAACAAAATCCAAGAGTCGCTACCTGTTATCACTTTCTACTTCCTTAAAATACTAATTAACGTATTTAGACATGGTTTTAGACTTAATTAACTGTGTTTATAATAATTAGCAAATTACTATGTTGTGATTTTGTGTTTAATACTTATTATATTCAAAAACAGTTATGATACAGAGTGAATTAAACTTCAAATAATATTTGTGTTAGTCCTTTTATTCAGGCAGATTTGTTGTTAGTTGTTGGCTCCATGTGTACAAAGTAGAACTGCTCTGTAAGGTTTCCAGGGCTGCAGCCTTTTGGAAGCAGATTGCCAGACCTTTCTTCAGAAGCACCTCTGAGTGGGTTGGAAATACCAACCTTTCAGTTAGTACTTCAGTTAGCAACCCTCTACAAGGTTTCTGAGGCTATAAAACTTTACTGGAGCAGACAGCCTCATAGTTCTCCCACAGAGCAGCTGGTGGGTTTGAACTTCAAACTTTGTGGCTAGAAGCCCAGTACCTAACCCAGAGTGCCACTAGGGCTCCTTTTAGGAAAGTTTGCTGTTGTTGTTTTAGTTAAGTGCCATCGAGTTGGTGCCAACTCACAGCGACACTGTATAGGGTCTCCAGGGAGTGGCTGGTGGGTACGAACTACAGACCTTACAGTGAGCAGTCCAGTGTTTATGCTACAGTGTCACACCAAGACTCTTTATTTAGATAGAATATTTCTCCTATGTGAAGAACCGTCACTCTTTTCTAGAGGTAGAAATGAGCATACCTTTTTAAAAATGACCTATATTTATATCTCAAGCATTTATTGACATCCTCCCATGTGCCACTAACTCTGGCATATCATTATACAGATATGCCAAATGATATCTGTGCATTTTACTTAAAATGAAATTTTAAGTAAATATCTGTGTGATTTACTTAAAATGATATTAAATCGTATCTGCTAATTTTATTAAAGTTAAAATCAGTCAGTACTGTCCCTGTTATAATCTGGCATATTCTTGAAAAATGTTAAATGACCTTAAATTTTTACTTTTGTGCATTAAGTATCCTTAGCCCTTGTTTCGTTTCCTCCTGCATCCCATTTCACTCTTTGGTCAATAAAACCTCTCCAGGTATATTCTCCAAATGCAGGTATGCTGATCTAATGGAACCTAATTTTTCATTCTTCCATAGAAAATACTATACAAGTGTTTACCACATCTATTAGAGAGGGTAAACCAAGCTAACTTTGTGGTTGTGCTTCTTGAGATTTTATTCTGTTTTTCCACAAATCCATTTTCAAATTTTGCACAGTTACTTAGAGACAGCTTTTATTCTATCAAGTAACAGTGAATTTAGAGCTGTTTCAGAGATGCTTTTCCAAATCAATTCCAATCTTACACACCTTACATAAAAAAATGGCAAGCTATGGCCCTACCTAATGTAGAAAAATTTGGACTCCTTTTCATTGGGAAACATAATAGGTCCATAGCCTTAACTTCCACCTTTGGTCCTTTCATCAACCCCTTAAAATGCAATTATTCTCCATTACTCCACACTAATTATTCTCAGTCAGGATAATAGGGAACTAACCCTTGAGAAATAAAATAGTCTAACTTGTCATTTATAGAAAAATAATTATCTGTAGGGTAAAGTGATGCCAGAGTGGGGCTCCAGGAAGGTGAAGGGAGAATAAACAACTGCTGTGGAGTCAATTACAACTCATAGCAACCCTGGTGATGCAATGGTTAACGGGCTCAGCTGCCAACCAAAAGATTAGCACTTGGAACTCACCAGCCACTCCAAGGGAGAAAGAGGTAACAGTCTGCTTCAGGAGAGATGACAGCGTTGGAAACTCCGGTTGCAATTGACTGCACAGCAGTGGTTTATTCTCCCTTCACATTCCTGGAGCTCCACTCAGGCATCACAAAGTTAGTGGTTCAAACCCACCAGCCAGTCCTCAGAAACCCTATACAGGGTTGCTATGGGTCAGAACCAACTTAGCAGCACTCAACAACAACAACAATCTTGTATTTAAACAGCCCAACTTGTGACCCACTATGATACCAGAGCTCCTTGAAGGGAGCATTTGTTTTTGTTAAGTGCCACTGAGTTGGTTCCGACTCATAGCAACCCAGTATAGGGTTTCCAAGGAGCAGTTGGTGAGTTTGAACTGCCAACCTTGTGGTTCACAGTCCAGTGCTGATCCTACAGCGCCACACCAGGAGTCCTGATGAGTTGGGACAGAGAAGGCAAGGACAGCGGTGGTTGGTAATGCTTTCATTAGAGTGAGTCACGCCCTCCATCTTAAACTGGTATCCTACCCATGGCACATGCCAAGAGTTTACCACTCCTCACTTTGGTCAATGAGATCAAATAAGTAATCATAAAAATTTTATATAAACTTGGAAATTTTACCTTTTCCACAGATGATATTTTGGCAGGAATATTCGATAAAAGGACCAGCATCAAAATCAAGTAAGGCAAGAACTGATCAAATTTAATGTTGTGCTTTTTTCCCCTCTCTTTATTGTATTACATTTTAGTCTTACAATTTGAGTTTGGTTATTGCTCAACATATATATGCCTTGTAAATCAAGGAGGACTTCTTAATTATCCACTGGGTCATCTAAGACAGAGAAAGCCATAGTCATCTATTTACACACTGAAAATCAAGTTTGGTGAGATATTAGAGAAATGAGATAATAGGTTTAATGTGGTTTCAAACAACTCAGCCAAGTCAAGACTTGCACAGAATAAAAGTAGGGCTCAACTCATTTCAAGTAGGAAAATACTTTTTCACTTTTTATTTCCCCCTTTTACCATTACAAGTGAAGGAGATGCTTATGCTAGATAAGTTAAGGTGGTGGTTGTTGTCCTAAGTGCCAACAAATTGGTTCTGACTCAAGAGAGATAAATTAAGGTGGCTGGACAAAACTGAGTAACTTCTAGAGAAGGGAGATCCTTTATCTTATCTGCTTATCTACACTGATCATCTCTAAGTGTTTTTTAGTTGTTTGTTTGTTTGTTTGTTCTATTTGCTTGTTTTTTCTTGCCAGCTATTCTTTTATTCCCCTTAGGTAGGGCCCCTGCTATAAGGGAGACTGTGTTAACATAACTATGCCAGAGCTATGTAACAAACTTATCAATAATTAACACCAAATGTGTCCAGTTGAACAAAAAATACATCTGTTTCACTTAGTGTTGAATATTACCCATTTACTATGACCTATTTAAAGTGAATGAAAGTATTAATTACTATAACTAGAACTTTTAGCAAGTGTTATTTAAAATTTTCTCAGGTTGTGTCTCCCCCACAAAGACTTTTTAAAGTAAGTGTTAATTATTAGGTCTTACTACTGTGCTTAGAACCATTGTTAAAGCGTATTGAATTCAGAGGTTATAATTACACTATTTTCATAATTTCTCTTAAGATGGTAACAGAGAGAAAATTGATGTTATGGGCCTTTTGACTGGATTAATTGCTGCAGGAATATTTTTGGTTATTTTTGGATTACTTGGCTATAATCTTTGCATCGCTAAGTGTAAGAGACAACATTATCCAAGGTAAGTGTCAAACAGAAGTATTTCATTCATAATTATACATTCTATATTTCTGTTTTTAAAATTTTTTAAGTAAATAAACTTTTGACTTTGGACTAATACCAGAACTACAGGAAAGTTGAAAAGACTGTAGAGAAAACCTTTCACCCAGCTTCCCCCTTTGTTAACAACTAACAATACTTTAGTACATTTGTCAGAACCAAGAAACTGACATCAGTGTGTTGTCATTAACTAAATTCCAGAGTTTACTTAGGTTTCGCCAGGTTTTCCATTGGTGTCCTCTTTCTGCTCCAAGATCCTAACAAAGGTACTATATTGCATTTACTTTTCATGTGTCTCAGTTGCTTAGTTCCCTAATTTAACAATGTCTTGTAGCATAGTGGTTAAGAATCGGGCTGCGAACCTCAAGGTCAGCAGTTCGAAACTACCAGCTGTTCTGCGGGAGAAAGATGAGGCTTTCTGCTCCCCTAAAGATTTACACCCTCGGAAACCCTGTGCAGGGTCACTATGAGTTGGAACCAACTCCACGGCACATCATAACAACAACAGTTGTTTAGTTCCCTAATTTAACAGTTATATAAATAAGATAATGATGCTATTTCTAAGATCTTTCAAAATAATTTTAAAAACTTTATATAAGTCAGCTTGGTTTTTCAATACTTCCTGCTTAAGCAGGAAGCAAGGACCATGGAAATGCAGTGATGACTTCCTCAGGTGCTAACCAAAAGATTGGCAGTTCAAACCCACCTGACTCTCCGTGGCAAAAAAGAAGTGGAGATTTGCTCCCGTAAAGATTACAGTCTAGGGAATTACATGGGACAGACCCTACAGGGTCACTATGAGTCAAATTGACTCAACAGCACAAACAACAAGCAGGAAGCCAATCCCACTGTACCCACATTACTTCCAGAGATAAGAAGTCCCATTTTTACAATGCATTACAGAGTTCAAAGAGCTACATATGTGGCCACTCAAGTGCAAAAGTGTAACTGGCTTTAAAATTCAACTCTTTTTATTTGATATTTTAAACAAATGTGAATGAAATAAAATCATTACCACTTGAGAATGTTGTTGTTGTTAAGCGCTGTTGAGTTGGCTCCGACCCATAGTGACCCTGTATAGGGTTTCCGAGAAGCAGCTGGTGAGCTTAAACCACCAACCTTGCAGTTCAAATGGCTTCGCAGTCTGGCGCATTAACCCACAGCACCACACCAGGACTCCCACTTGAGAATGTTGTTGTTGTTGTTAAGTGCCGTTGAGTCGGTTCCAACCCATAGCAACCCTGAACAATAATAGCATATTAATAAAGTACACTGAGATTCACAAAGGCCATAGTATTTTTGCATAATAGAACCTCAACCCTTATTAAAATAAAAAGTGCTTCCCAGTAAATGTAGATGTGTAAGTATAGAAATAACATAATTAAAAAGCACTACACTGAATGCTGTTGTTGTCAGGTGTCATCGAGTTGGTTCTAACTCATTATAGGGACCCTATGCACAACAGAACGAAACACTGTCCAATTTTCATCTATCCTCACCATTGTTCTTATGTTTGAACCCATTGTCACTGCTACTATGATGACTCATTTCATTGAAGATCTTCCTCTTTTTCAATGACTCTCTACTTTACCAAGCATGATATCCTTCTCCAGGGACTGGTCCCTGCTGACAACACGTTCCCAGTATGACAGACGAAAATTTGTTATTCTTGCTACTTTCCAATTATGCTTCCTCCAAGACAGAATAGATTAGGCTGAATATATTATTAAAAATTGATGTTTATTCAGATTTTTAAATTCTGTGAACAAGCTTATGGTGGTGACCAGGGTTCTTGTTTATGATAGATTGTTGTTGTCAAGTGCCTTTGAGCCAGTTAGGATTCATAGTGACCTTACTTAGAGTTTTTGAGGCTATAATTCTTTGTGGAAGCAGAAAGCCTTATCTTTCTCCTGAGGAGCAGCTGGTGGGCTTGAACTGCTGACCTTGTAGTTTTCAGCCAAGTGCTTATCCTACAGAACCACAGCACATCTAATTATGATAGCTTATTTATCTTTTCTGCAAATGGATAGTGTTTTGTATCTTTCCAATAAAATAGACAGTATTTTTAAAATATCATTAGAAGACATTGTGTCTTCTAAATTAAGGATAAATTTCAACTTAGATTAAGTAAGTTTTTACTTAATATAAAAAAAAAACAACAACATCATGACCAAGTGGGAGTCATACCAAGAATGCAAGGATGGTTCAATATTAGAAAAACAATCAATGTAATGGACCCCATAAATAAACAAAAGAAAAGAACCAAATGATCATATCAATTGACACAGAAAAGGCATTTAACAAAATCCAACATCCATTCCTGATAAAAACTTAATATCAAAAGGTAATAGAAGGAAAATTCCACAATATAATTGAGGGCATATATACAAAACCAATAACCAGGAAGGAAACTGAAAGCATTCCCTTTATGAACAGGAACCAGAAAAGGATGCCCTTTATCACCACTCCTATTTAATGTTGTGTTGGAAGTCTTAGCCAGAGCTCTAAGGTTAAAAAGGGAAATTAAAGGCATCCAAATTGGCAAAGAAGAAGTAAAACTCTTTCTATTTACAAATGATAGGATCCTATACTTAGAAAATCTAAAAAACTCAGCAAGAAAATTATTGGAACTCATTGAAAGATTCAGTAAAGTATCAGAGTACAACATCAATATAAAAAGTCAGTTAAAGAGAACTCTGAAAAGAAAATCAGGAGAGCAGTACAATAGCCACCCAAAAGATGAAATAATTAGGAATAAATTAAACCAGAGAAACAAAAGACTATACAAAGAAAACTACAAAGCACTACTACAAGAAACCAAAAGAGACCTACAGAAAATGAAAGTGCATACCATGCTTATGAATAGGAAGACTTAACATTGTGAGAATGTCAACACTACCCAAAGCAATCTATAGATATAATGCAATCCTAATATGGATTCCAACATCATTCTTTAAAGAGATGGAAAAACTGATCATTAACTTTATTTGGAAAGGAAAGAAACCCCAGATAAGCAAAGCATTACTATAAAAGAACAAAGTAGGAGACCTCTCACTTTTCAATCTCAAATTCAATTCAGTCACAGTAATTGATACAGCCTGGCACCGATATAACGAAAGACAAATAGATCAATGGAACAGAATTGATAACCCAGGAATAATCCATCCACTTGCACTCAGTTGATCTTTGACCAAGGGCCAAAACACATGAAATGGGGAAGCGATAGTTTCTTCAACAAGAGGTACTGGCAAAACTGGGAATATATTTGCAGAAGAATGAAACAAGATCCATTTCTTACACTATATACAAAAACTAATTCAGCATGATTTAAAGACCTAATTGTAAAACTTAGAACTATAAAGATCATCAATGAAAAAGTAGGGACAAACTTATGGGCTCTGTTACATGGCATAAATACACTATCAATTTAACTGAAAACAAACACATAGCAAAAGACAAAATAGATAGCTGGGACCTCCTAAAAGTTAGATGCTTATGTGAATCAAAAGAATTCACAAAAGGAATAAAAAAAAGAACATACAAACTGGGGGGAATTGGCAATGGCATACCAGACAAGGGACTCTGTTCCCTAAAACTTATAGAACACTTCTACACCTAAACAAGAAAAAGACAAATAATCCAATTTTAAAATGGGCAGAGGACATGAACAGATTTTCACCAAAGAAGATATTCAGATGGATAACAAACAAACATGAAGAAATGCTCACAATCATTAACCGTTATTGACAGGGAAGGCAGTTTAAAAAAATAAAGAATAAAAAACAAAAACACAGTCTATACTCCAAAATATATCAATATCCTGAAACACAAAGGAATACTGAGGAACTGTTTCAAATGAAAGTAAACTAGAGACATGTTGTTTTTGTTCATTGCTGTCTTGTCAATTCTAACTCATATTGACCATGTATAGGATTTCTGAGGAGCAGCTGGTGGGTATGAATTGCTGACCTTGTGATTTGCAGTCCCGTGCTGATTCTACAGTACCAGACCAAGAGTTCCATTAAAGAAATGCAGATCAAATCAACTAGTTACCATCTTAGCCCAGCATTCATAGCAGAGTTCCAAAAAACAGAATATAACAAATGCTATCAAGGGTATGGAGAATCTGGAACAGTCCTGCACTGCTGGTGGGAATGTAAAATGGTGCATCACTGTGGGAAATTGTATGGCAATTCCTCAAAAAGTTGGAAACAGAAACACTATTTGGCTCATAAATCTCTCTATTTGGTATATATCCTCAAGAAATAAGAGCTGTGACACAGATATTTGCACACTCATGTTCATCACAACACTATTCACACTAGCAAAAAGATGGAGACAACCTAAATGCCCATCAACAGAAGAATGGGTAGACAAAGTTTGGTACATACATAAAATGGAATACTACACAACATTTAAGAATAACAATGAATCTACAAAACACCTCATAACATAGATAAATCTGAAAGACATTATGCTGAGTAAAATTAGTCACAGAAGGACAAATACTGTTTGAGACCACTATTGTAAAAACTCAAGAAAAAGTTCTTATGCTAAAATAAATAGTCAATGATAGTTATCAAGAGTAACTTAGGAGACAGCAGACAAGTGTTAACTTGGGTGACAGGGAAGGCAGTTAAAAAAACAAAAACACACAAATTAGATCAATGTCCTAAAACACAAAGGAATAATGAGGAACTGTTTCAAATGAAAGTAAACTAGAGACATGATCACTAAATCCAATGTGTGGTCCTGGCCTCAGTCATGAAGCGGAAAAATAAATTGCTATAAAGAAAAATGTGAGGGCAAATTCAAATATGGACTAACTATATGGTATGGAGCTGTAAGATAAACACTCGACTGCAGTGCTGGTTTGAACTGCAAAGTCAGCAGTTCAAATCCATGGAAACCCTGTACAGGGTTGATATGAGTCAGAATCGACTCGAAGGCACTTAGTAATAA